CCTGCCACTTCTCCAGGTGCAGGGTAAAAGCTGCCTGTGAATCTATCATTCTTGAATCTGGAAGACAGTGGCCCCTTCTCACAGCTTCACTAGGCCATGCCCCATTGGGGACATTGCAAGGGGGTTCCAACCAGACACTTTGCCTCTGCACTACCCTAGTAGAGTTTCTCATGGGGGCTTTGCCCTGCAGGAGGCTTCTGCCTGGGAATCCAGGCTTTTACATGTAGCCACTGAAATCTAGGCAGAGGCTCTCAAGGGTTCTTCACTCTTGCATTCTGCACACCTACATGCTTAACACGATGTGAAAGCTGCCAAGGCTTACAGCTTGCATTCTCCTCAGTGGCAGCTAGAGCTGTACCTGGACTCCTTTGAGCCACAGCTGAAGCCAGAGTGGTTGGGATGCAGGAAGCAGTGTCTCAAGGCTGCTCATGGCAGCAGGGCCCTGGGCCTGGCCCACAAAACCATTTTTTCCTCCTACGCCTTTGAGCCTGTGATGGGAGGGGCTGCTGCAAATATCTCTGAAATCCCTTCATGGTCCTTTTCTCAATATCTTGGCTATTAGCACTTGGTTCTCTTTTAGTCATGCAAATTTATCTAGCAAGTGGTTGCTTCTCATCTTGCTTGAATTCTTCTCTTGAAAAAGCTTTTTATTTCTCTGCCACATAACCAGCCTCCAAATTTTCCAAACTATTATGCTCTGCTTTTCTTTTAAATATAAGTTCCAAGCTTAAGTCATCCCTTTGTGCCTGCATCTGAGTGTAGGTTGTTAGAAGCAACCAGGCTACTTCTTGAATGCTTTGCTGCTTAGAAATTTCTTCTTTTTCCAGATATGCTAAATTATCACTATAAAGTTCAAGCTTCCACTGATCCCTGGGCATGAAAACAATGAAGTCAAGCTCTTTGCTAAGTCTACATGTGTGACCTTTGCGCCAGTTCCTAATAAGTTCCTCATTTCCATCTGATACCTTGGCAGCCAGGACTTCACTGTTCATGTCACTATCAGCAATTTGATCACAACCATTTAACCAGTGTCTAGGAAGTTCCAAACTTTTTCATATCTTCCTGCTTCTTCTGAGCCCTCCAAACTCTTCCAACCTCTGCCTACTACCCAGTTCCAAAATCACTTCTTCATTTTTAGCTATCCTTATAGCAATGCTCCCCTCCTCAGTACCAATGTTCTGTATTAGACCATTCTTGCAATTATGTAAATAAATACTTTAAGCTGGGTAATTTATAGAGAAAAGAAGTTTAATTGGCTCATGTTTTAATCACTTCAGAGCTAAGTCAGGGAAAAGTCACTTGCACAAAATTCTTTCTTCCTTGCCTTTTTCTTAGTGAACATGAAATTCTCATAGCTGGCAGACTTATTGAGAACAGCTACTTGCATTTGCCTTTGTATTAGCAGCAAAAATGTTTTTGACTAACTAAACCTGGGAATTGTTTATATTGCAGCATTGCTTATTTTATCTGGATAAGTATAAGATGTATACCTACTTTTGCTAAAGGAACATAAATATGTAATGTAACTTCAAGAGAATATGAATAGAGATTTTGAATAAAAATTGAAAGGAGGGAAAAGAATGCAATGAAGTTAATATAAAACTGTTTGCTTAAAACATGATAAGTTCAAATATTTTTGTATCTATAGAAATGATAACATACTTTAATGATAATGCATTTCAGTGAAGAAACAGAGGTTGTTCAAACCGGAGTTCTCAAAATCTATTTGCTGTTTATATGACACTTACCCAGATATAAAAAGTTAGAAAAGTGAGATTATAGAGACATTATAGAGAAAATACATATTCTAATTTAAAAAAGAAAGCTGGCATAGCTATATTAATTTCAGGAAAAATAAATTTTAAGGTAAAAAGAGGTATTGGATTTAACAAGGTCACTACATAATAATGAGAGTTGCATTTTACCAAGGAGATATGAAGTTATAAACTTGTAGATACCTAATAATGTAGCAAAAAGCAAATGCAAGTATTACAAAGCATAGTAAATTTATCCAAATATTAAAAATTGATAAAAAAAATTCGGTGATTTTAACACATCTCTCCCAGTAATGGTTAGTTCAGAGGAGGAAAGCAATATTAAGGACATAAAAGATTTAAACTAAACAATTAAGAAATTTAATATGATACAACCTTGTGCAGATCAATTAAGGAATATTTATGTTCCTCGAGTGGTTGTGGAGCATTTCTGCAATTTCAGTTCACATCAGGTGTAAAGAGAGGCTCAACAAAGAGCAAAATACCAGTTTCCCAGAGACTGTATTTGCTATCTGTCTTAGTGTTTTGTGTTGTTAAAAAGGAATACCTGAGGCTAGGTAATTTATAAAGAGAATGACTTTTTGACTCATGATTCTGATGACTGGAAAGTTTAAGATTGGGCATCTGCATCTAATGAGGGCTTCAGGCTGCTCTCAGTCATGGCAGAAGGCTGCTCTCAGTCAGTGTGTTGCAGAAATCATATGGTGAGAGAGGAAGCGAGAGAGTGTGGGGTGATACCAGGCTCTTTTTAACAATCAGTTCTCACCAGAGCTAACAGAGTAAGAGCTCACTCACACCCAAGGGCAGGAATTAATCTCTTCATGAAAGATTCATCCCCATTATCCAAAACTTCTTATTAGGCCCCATCTCCAACATGGGAGATAAAATTTCAACATGAGGTTTGGAGAGGTCAAACATCCAAATCATAGCTCTGACCAAAATGAAATTAAATTAAAAATTTTAAAAACTAAATAATGACTCAAAAGTAGACCTACAAATATAAAAAAATCTAAATAAGCCATAGCTCAAAAAGAACTCATAAAAGAAACTAGAAAATAAAGCAGAACAGTAATCAAAATAATACATTACAAAATTTATAAGATATGCACAAATGCAGTCTTTTGAGAAAACCATGTATCTTCATCTGTTTATATTAATATTGCTATTAACTTAGAAAAGAAAAAACATTAAACTATAATTAGAAAAACAACCTAATAAAGAAGTTAGTAAAAACAAAACAGAAGTATTACAAATAATGTAGAAAAAATACAAAAATAAGCCATTTCAGACAGTGTTCCCAGTGAGTTTTTCCAAACATTCAAGGAAAAAATATTAGCAGGGAATAGAAAAAAAGGAGGGCACCACAGTTTCTTCTAAAAGGCTTTTATAACTTTGATAATCAGATCTAGAAAATTATGAATTTAAAACTATAAGAAATTGGACTAACATTTTAATCTATGTCATGAACAAATTATTTTATAAACCGAGCTGCAAACTCAAGTCAACAATGTAGCAAATATTTCTATAAGTATTTATATTGGATGCTGTGATTTGCCTCCCAGTACTCCTTAAAACTATGACATTATTCACCCAGCTATCAGGAGTGTTAACTTTTGACAACTCATAGGTGAATCCTTTGGACAAAGAAAGACGCTTCACTCAAGGTTATACATTTGCCTTCCTGACTGATCTTATATCCAATGACTGGCCAAGGCTGGGGTATAAAGAGACAGCCTTCTATTTTAATTGGAAACAACTCAGAAAGGCCATGTCAGCTGCAGCTCTACCCGTTGCTAACTTTGAAAGTGGAAGAAGATGAGTGATAGCAATGACGTTAGATTGTTATTTATATAAGACTTTCACCTGTATTTTTAATACTCTATTTGTTAAGCAGAGTGTTCGGTATTTAGGTTCATTATATTATATGTTATACTTTTGTATGGTTCTAAAATATTTAGTAATAAATAAATACATCTGAAAATAAGTTAATACCAAGACCTTGTGCTTTGCAGTCAAATAGATCTGGGTTTAGATCCTGCCTCTTCTTACTTCCTTGACAAAGCATGCCTCTCTGAGTCTCAGTCTTTTTACCTATGACATAAAAATAAGAATCTTACTGCATCTCTTAAAAGTGTTTATTACCATCTTTAGCTCTTTAAAGATGCTCTCAATATACATTATTTTAAAAATACAATTTTGGGAAAGAGAAGGCTGAAAGGATCGCAGGTTCTGACTGGGAGGGGACTCTGATCTCTGAACTCTCTTTCCCCACAGTCTGGGCTAGAAATCTCCTTTTTTGACTTGTTTACCTTGTTAGAACAATGCAGGCATTGTAAGTGGAAAATCTCGTCCTATTTGAATACCTGTTACACTAACATTCTGTGATACTACAAAAACAAAAGCCTAGGATGTCTTTTTAAGATACTGACATTGCTTCATTTAACCTCATATATATCTTTTTAGACTAGATATTGAGATTCTTAACCCTGTCCGAGCATTAGAACAACTTAGGTGCTTTAAAAAGATACCCATTCCTGGCCCTTCACCCTCTGAGATTCTCAAATATTTGGTGTGGGGTGGAGCTCAGACCCAGTTTTAATTTTCAAAACTTGGTGGGTGATTCTAATTTGGAACCAAGGTAAGAGACACTAGTCAGAATTTCTCAAATCACAATCTATGTGCATGTGACTTTCCAAGCCCAGTCCCAAAGCCATCCAATTAAAATCTTGGAATTTAGGGGATAGGCCTTGAAATTGCAGTGTTTTTACATGTTTCTCAACTGATGCTTATGGACTTAATATTTGAGAACCACTACCTTAGAACTGAAACATACAGTTAATTTCAGAAGAGAGGATCGTGATCCTTGAAAAGTTTCAGTGGATTTTTTTTCAGGATTAAATATTATCCCCAAAATCAGAATAAAACCAAGCATAATTTCATTTGACTCTTACTCATAAAATCCCATGAGTTCAATAAGCTCCCTTGGATATTAGCATACCGAGCACACTCTCTAGTCAAACTGAAGGACGGTCCTCAGAGAATCTTTTTCCAGACATCTTCAACTTTGCCACAGTAAAGGACTCTCTGGCTCCAACTGGCATCTTGTTCTCTGATTTCTCTCCTCAAGCAAATGCTTGACTTCACACTGAGCCTTTTCTGATGATCACAGAAAAACTCTCTGCTTTGTTGCGTTGCTCCCTAATCGACTCTCTCTTCTCATCACAGAGTCTGCTGCTTCTCAACGAGTGAGACTTCTGACGCACACACAACAAGAGCAATCACCTTTTCCTAAGGAGTCCTTGGAAGTGTAAGCTCACCTAGCAAGACAAGACTTGTCTTACCAGCAATTATCTTCAATCTAGCAATAGAATTGTTGAAGGAATTGTTATAAACTCCGGCAGTAAATGTCAGTCTAACAATAGAATTATTGAAGCACTTTCAATAATACATTAAGCTTTATATTTTCAACACATGCAGAAAACAGTTCCATTATTTCTAATTGGAATAAAGAACATGAAATTCAGGGAGGTGAACTAATTTAGCCACATTAGCTCAGATATATAGTTGTGTAGTTGAGACTTGAACCCAGTTCACAATGAAACCAAGGCTAGATTATTTCTACGACACACTCTTCTGTGCAATTTAGTGAAGATTACATCCTGAAATTCACTTGCTGAGTTTCTTTGTGCAAATCCTTAAGTTTTGCTTATCTGTAAAAATGCAAATATGCATCTAGACAAGGAATAATAAATGAAAAGCTCTCAGAGCAATTTTAAACTGAAGAGTAATTTTATTTAAAAAGCCCAGGTTACATATACATTTAGAAAGAATGTGATAGTTATTCTAACATTAGACAAATATTTCTATTTTTCCTTCTCTGGAACAGAATTAGATTTTTAGATTTTACTTCTCCACTTCCTTGGATTTATTTATATCTGTGAAAGTTGCTTTTGCCAGTTAAACTCATTACAAAGGTTTGAGAGCAAGTGCACAATTAGATGCATTCTTTTTTCCTTTTGTGAGGGCCAATGACAACGTTTGGGAAGGAGGCTTCTTCATTAACCTGGATCCAGGAATGAGGAATGTGGAACAGAACTCACAGCCGACCCATAGAAAATATATAGCATTAATAGAAAATAAATCTATATTGTTACAAGTTTCTAAAATCATGGAGGTTGTTAGTTATGAAGGCATAATCTAGCTTACCCTGACAGCTATAAAAATCAGTCTCTAGAAGTAAGTTCTGTATGACAACTACAAAACCATAACCTAATCAATCAAATACAAACAAACAAACAACAACAACAAAAAAAACAGCCGTCATTGAATACAGGTCACACTTTTCTAGTGATCATGAGGCAGATGATAAGAAAACTTATACCAAAGGCTGGAGAGATGATTGTCCAAGTTATTCAGTGTCAAACATTTAGTTGGGGCAAAATTAATAAATAAATAAAAAGGATATAGAAGTATTTATGAAATTCAGGGATTTTTAGGTTTAGAAGAGGCAGCTGCTTCATAACCCCAACAAATAAAACATAAAGCCAAAAAGGCCTTTGGAAAACAAGGATTGGGTAGAACTCAGTTTTATTGCAAAGATCAAATCCAGAGTATGTTTAGATTAAAACATCTCTGAGAAACATCGTGGTATTCAGTTCTATTAATCTGTTCTCATGCTGCTTGTAAATACATAGCAGAGACTGGGTAATTTATAAAGAAAAAGAGGTTTATTCCATGGTGTATATGTACCACATTTTTAAAATCCAGTCTATCATTGATGGGCATTTGGGTTGGTTTCATGACTTTGCTATTGTAAATCGTGCTGCAATAAACATGTTTGCATGTGTCTTTATAGTAGAATAATTTATATTCCTATGGATGTATACCCAGTAAGGGGACTGCTGGTTCAAATGCTATTGCTGGGTTCTAGATCCTTGAGGAATTGCCATACTGTCTTCCACAATGGCTGAACTAATTTACATTCCTACCAACAGTGTAAAAGTGTTCCTATTTCTCCACAACCTTGCCAGCATCTATTGTTTCTTGGCTTTTTAATAATCACCAATTCTGACTGACATGAGATATTATCTCATTGTGGTTTTGGTTTGCATTTCTCTAATGATCAGTGATGTTGAGCTTTTTTTCATACATTTGTTGGCCACCTAAATATCTTCTTTTGAGAAGTGTCTGCTCATATCCCTTGCCCACTATTTTATGGGTTGTTTGTTTTTTTCTTGTAAATTTGTTTTAAGTTCTTTGTAAATTCTGAATATTAGACCTTTGTCAGATGGGTAGATGGCAATAATTTTCTCCCATTCTGTAGGTTGTCTGTTCACTCTGATGATAGTTTCTTTTGCTGTGCAGAAGCTCTTTAGTTTAATTAGATCCCATTTGTCAGTTTCTGCTTTTGTTGCAATTGCTTTTGGCGTTTTTGTCATGAAGTCTTTGCCCATGCCTATATCCTGAATGGTATTGCCTAGATTAGATTTTCTTCTAGGGTTTTCATGGTTTTGGGTTTTAAATTTAAATATTTAATCCATCTGGAGTTGATTTTTGTATAAGGTGTAAGGAAGGAGTTCAATTTCTATGCAGCCATAAAAAAGAATGAGATCATGTCCTTTGCAGGGACATGGTTGAAGCTGGAAGCCATCATCCTCAGCAAACTAACACAGGAACAGAAAATGAAACACTGCATGTTGTCACTCATAAGTAGGAGTTGAACAATAAGAACACATGGACACAGGGAGGGGAACAACACACACCAGGGCCTGTTGGGGTTGGTGGGTGAGGGGATGGAACTTAGAGTATGGGTCAATAGGTGCAGCAAATTACCATGGCACACGCATACCTATGCAACAGACTTGCATGTTCTGCATGTGTATCCTGAAACTTAAAGTTGAAAAAAAAAAATAGGTTTAATGGACTCAGTTCCACAAGGTTAGGGAGGCCTCACAATCATGGCGGAAGGCAAAGGAGGAGGAAAGTCATATCTTACATGGTGGCAGGCCAGAGAGAGCGTGTGCAGGGAAACTCCTCTTTATAAAATCATCAGATCTTGTGAGACTTATTCACCTTTACAGAACGCATAGGAAAGACCTTCCCTCATGATTTAATTACCTCCCACCAGGTCCCTCCCAGGACATGTGGGAATAGTGAGAGCTACAATTCGAGATTTGGGTGGGAACACAGACAAACAATATCATTTCACCCCTGGATCCTCGCAAATCTCATGTCCTCACATTTTAAGACCAGTTATGCTTTCCCAGCAGTCCACTAAAGTCTTAACTCATTTCAGCATTAACTCAAAAGTTCATAGTCCAAAAGTTCCTCTGAGACAAAACAAGTTCTTTCTCTCGATGAGCCTGTAAAATCAAAAGCAAGTTAGTTACTTCCTAGATAAAAAGGGGGTACAGGAATTGGGTAAATAAACCCTTTCCAAATGAGAGAAATTGTCCAAAACAAAAGGTCCACAGGACCCATGCAAGTCTGAAACCTAGCAGGGCAGTCAAATCTTAAAGCTCCAAAATTATCTCCTATGACTTCATGTCTCACATCCAGGTCATGCTGATGCAAGAGCTGGGTTCCCATAATCTTGGGCAGCTCTGCCCCTGTGACTCTGCAGGGTATGGTCTCCATTCTGGCTGCTTTCCTGGGCTAATGTTGAGTGTATGAGTCTTTTCCAGGCACATGGTGCAAGCTGTCAGTGGATCTCCCATTCTGGGTTTTGCAGGATGGTGGCCCTGTTCTTACAGATCCACTAGGCAGTTCCCCAGTGGGAACTCTGTGTGGGGGCTCCAACTCCACATTTCCCTTCTGCACTGGCTTAGCATAGGTTCTCTATTAGGACCCTGCCCTTGCAGCAAACTTCTGCCTGGACATCCAGGGGTTTCCATCAAACCTCTGAAATCTAGATGGAGGTTCCTAAACCTCAATTCCTGACTTTTGGGCACCTGTCAGCTCAACACCAAATTAAAGCTGCCAAGACTTGGGGCTTGCATCCTCTGGAGCCATGGCTTGAGCTGTACCTTTGCCTCTTTTAGCCATGGCTGGAGAAGCTGGACACAGAGCACCATGCCTCTAGGTTGCACACAGCAGTGGGGCTCTAGGCCCAGTCCATGAAACCATTTTTTCCTCCTAGGCCCCCAGGCTTGTGATGGGAGGGGCTGCTGTGAAGGTCTCTGACATACCCTGAAGGTTTTTTCCACATTGTGCTGGTGATTAACATTGGGTTTCTCATTACTTATGCAAATTTCTGCAGCAGGCTTGAATTTATCCCCAGAAAATGGGTTTTTCTTTTCTATTGCATTGTCAGGCTGCAAATTTTCCAAACTTTTATGCTCTACTTCCTCTTGAACACTTTGCCACTTAGAAATTTCTTCCACCAGATGCCTTAAATCATCTCTTTCAAGTTCAAAGCTCCATAGATCTCTAGGGCAGGGGCAAAATACTTCCAGTCTTTTTGTATAGCAAGAGTGATCTTTACTTCAGTTCCCAAAAAGTTTCTCATCTCCATCTGAGGCCACCTCAGCCTGGACCTTATTGTCCAAATCACTATCAGCATTTTGGTCAAAGCCATTCAACAAGTCTCTAGGAAGTTCCAAATCTTCCCATATCTTCCTGTCGTCTTCTGAGCCCTCTAAACTCTTCCAACCTTTGCCTGTTACCTAGTTCCAAAGTCTCTTCCACATTTTCAGGTATCTTTACAGCAGCACCCCACTGTACCAGTACCAATGTACTGTATCAGTCTGTTCTCACACTGCTAATAAAGACATACCTGAGACTGGGTAATTTATAAAGAAAAAGAGGTTTAATGGACTCACAGTTCCATGTGGCTGGGAAGGCCTCACTATCATGGTGGAAGGCATAGGAGGAAAATGTCATGTCTTACATGGCAGCAGGCAAGAGAAAGCATGTGCAGGGAAACTCTCCTTTAGTATACCACCAGATCTCATGAGACTTATTCACTATCACAAGAACAGCATGGGAAATACACACCCTCCTGATTCAATTGCCTCCCACCAAGTCCCTCCCATGACACTTGGGAATTGTGGAAGCTACAATTTGAGATTTGGGTGGGGACATAGCCAAGTCATATCACCAGTGCATCTCTCAATTGAAAAAACAGGCCTTATATAAGAGACAACCAGAACAGCTTATCCACTGAATCTTGTTGCATTTAAGGTACCCACAAGTAAATTAAGAACACAAGAGTAAGAATCACAGGGCTGAGAAAGCAAACACACACACGCACAATACACACATGTGCACTTATACATAATCTGTGTAGTATAATCACAAAGAGAAACC